GTAGCAGCTTACACAGCAGCTTGTAGTAGCAGCTTACGGAGCAGCTTCCTTTCTTCTATAAATAGAAGAGATTTCAGTTCATTATGTACATCAGTTTGAATTCGAATAATATATCAGTTTCTCTATATACTTGTCTTTACTTTATAGTCTTTATTTTATAACACTGCACCATTTTTTTACATTGAAATAGTGTAAAATAACTCCAATTCATTATACTATTTTTTACACCAAAAAAATTATTCTCTTTATATTTTTCTTTTTTTATATTATATTATTTTCTTTATAAAACAAATCCATTATTTTTTCTTTCGTATTTATCCCATATAATTCATATTTCTTTCTTATATAACCAGTTAATATAAAATTATTTTATACCTTTAATTTTTAAATAAATATAAATTATAAGCAAATATTATACATTATACATATTAATGTATAATTCAAATAAAAATGAAATCACTAATAAGATATAAATAAATAAATGGGCATTGTGTTAATGAATAAAAGAAATCTAACAATTTCAACAACTACAATCGCAACAATCCTCTGCCCCATACACTCAATATTTTAATGATATTAGTGGATCTGGAAGCGGCCTTCCAGAGTACTAGATTATTGTTGTAGTTTTCTCATCCCATTATGCTATTTAATGTATTTTTAATTTAATCTATGTCAATCGCTATTGTATTAAATATTTGTTTTTATGATTATCAATGAACATTGTGTTATTTATTAACAACATATTATATTTCAGTTTTGTGCTCTTTTTTTATGGTTATATATGTATATTATTTATACAATTATAATTTATAATAAAATTAACTTACAATTTTATATAAAAAAAATATACGAAAATTAATTTATAAAAATTATACACCCAAATTAAAATATAAAATTAATATTATACAGATATTACATAAAAACTATAATTAATTATAAAATTATAATATGTTAAATAAAAAGTATTATATGATAAAAGATAATATTAAAATAATGGTGAATAGTAATGGTATTGATGAATAGTATTACATCAAATTTGGTATAACACTATTCACACACCAAAATGGTATAACACTATAGACCCAGCCCTCGCATTTGCGAGCCAGGCTTCACAAATGCGAAGCCTGCAGGCCTGCAATGGAACAGCTAAAACCTGCAATTTTTTCAAGTCTAATTCTACTCTGTGGCCTATCCAAAACTCACCCGAGCCCTCGGGGCTCCAAACCAAACATGCACACCAACCTAAAAATATCATACGGACTCGCTCGTGCATTCAAATCACCAAAATAACATCGATAACTATGAATTTAGTATCAAAATCATGAAATTTCCTAAGAACTTCAAATTTTTTAATTTTCTCAAATACGGTCCGATTCACGTCGTTTCAAGTCCATTTCTTACCAAATTTCACAGACTCATCTTAAATCACATATAAGACCTGTACCGGGCTCCGGAACCAAAATACGGGCCCGATATCAATGGTTTCAAACATAAATTCTCTTCTTTACTTCATAATTAATTGAGCAAAATAATGTTTTTTCAAAAATTCATTTCTCGGACTTGTGACCTCGGAATTCGATTCCGGGCATACGCGCAAGTCCCATATTTTCCTATGGACCCTCCGGGACCGTCAAATCACGAGTCCGGGTCTGTTTACCCAAAATGTTGACCGAAGTCAACTTAATTCATTTTAAAGTCAAAATTCATTATTTTTCACAGATTTTCATATATTGGCTTTCTGGCTACGCGCCTAGACTGCGCACGTAAATCGAGGTGAGACAGAAATAGGTTTTTAAGGCCTCAAAACGTAGAATTTATTACCAGTATACTTATGCTGGAACTCCATTATAATATGCTAGAGTTCTAGTATATTTATGCTGGAACTCCATTATCATATACTGGAGTTCTAGTATACTTATGCTGAAAGTCCAGTATATTATGCTGGAGTATCACTTGTAAATCTGGCTATTTTTGAATTTCTCCCCTTTTTCTTTCTTTTGTTACACAAAAAATATTTTACTATGCTCTAGTCATCACAATAATCACTTTGACCAGACTTTACAAACCTTTCACATGAAAAGTCTATTATGTTCTTGACATTATAAATCCTCTCATTTATGTAATACCTTCTATATCATATGCTATATAATATACTTTTACCCATATATTTTACTTATAATTAAAATAACCTAATATTATTTTATTTATTATTTTTATAATACATTCATACATTTTTTTAATATTAATTTTCAAGATATAAGTACTATTATTAAATTTGTCAGTAACATTACCGTGAACAAATCTCAAGTCCACGTTCTTAGTCATGATTAATGGAATATGTTTAATGAAAATTAAAAAAATCAAAGCTCATTGATTTATCAACCAAGCTATATCCTTTAATTTAATAAATAAAATACCCCATACTTAACAAAATGACACATCTTAATACTTTCAAATAAATAATATTAACATATAAAGCTTTGAAAAAATTAAAATTATACACAAATATCTTTGAAACTTCTTTTAAAATTTATATTGACTATAAAAAACTGTCATTTGGTAAACAAATATATTTTTATTATTTTAAATTAATATTAAAAAATAATATCTTTCTATAATTTTTATATTTAAAATATGTTCATATTTGAATATGATTAAACAAATTTAGTGCCATGAAAAAATTAAACGTATGGATATATTATGAAAATAATAAATAAAATAATTTAAAGTTATTTTAATTATAAGTGAAATATCTAGGCAAAAATATATTATATACTATATAGTGTATAATATAGAAGATATTACATAAATGAGAGTGTTTATAATGTCAATAACATAATAGACCTTTCAAGGAAAAGTATTATAAAATCTAGCCAAGGTGATTTTTGTTATAAATAAAGTAAAGTAAAATAATTTTGTGTAACAAAAGAAAGAAAAATGACTTTTGAATAATGAACACAAAGTTGAATGATTTTTACGTAATAAAAAGAAGAAAAATAACTTTTACGCAATGAACACAAAATTGAATGACCATCTATGAAATTTACTCAAAATTGTGCACGGTGAGAATTAAACGTTGGACCAATCGATCTCATAACCTGTTTGGCCAAGCTTCTTCAAGGTCAAAAGTACTTTTTTGAGTTAAAGTGTTTGGCCAAGCTTTAGAAGAAAAATAACAATAATTTTGAGTAAGAGCAAAAACAGTTTTGGAAAAGCAAAAAAAAGTAATTTCTTCCTAAAAGTACTAAAATAAAAAATACTTTTTGAGAAAATACACTTAGAAACACTTTTTAAAAACTTAGCTCAGAAGTGCTTTTCAACCTGTTTGGCCAAACTTTTTCTAGGCCAAAAATACTTTTTTTTCGAAGTTTGAAGTGTTTGGCCAAACTTTTAAAGGAAGAAAATATTTTTGAGTAGAAACAAAAAAAGTAACTTATCTCTAGAAACACTTTTTTGAAAAGCACTCTTCAGAAAAATATAGTTAGAAGCACTTTTTTTACAGCTTGACCAAACACTAATTGCTGCTCAGAAGTATTTTTTAAATTAATTAACCAAATATAAACTACTTCTAACCAAAAGTAATTTTGAGAAAAATACTTCTAAAAATAAATTGATTTTAGAAGCTTAACCAAATATGCTACTATTAATTAGCCAAATATAAATTATTTAATACCAAAAATATTTAAAAAAAATACTTTTCAAAATGAGCTAATGTTAGAAGTTTAGTCAAACGGTCCCTTTTATAACCACAAAAAAGGTTTTGTGGCAACATATTGTAGCTGAAGGGAAAGGTCTGGGATTGACAGAGCAAGGGTAGGAAATATCTCCGCGCTGGAGCCGGGTACCTGGAGGGGTGGGGAGGGGGCGGGGGGAGCTCTTCAGCACCTTCTTCCTTGTTGACTACTTATATAATTTCATTCCTTTTGCAGAGTACAGACATACTTCAAGTTCAGGAGAAGCAAGAGACCCAAGAAGAAATAGGCAAACTAAAGAGGTAACTTTCTGCTAATCCTGAAAATTACTCTCACTTTCCAGTCGCAAAGCATTTCTCTGATTCAATTTTCATCTTTTTCCTTTTTTGCTTTAAATTCTTTTTACAAAATCACACTCTCCCAAATAGGTATTAGTTTGGTATACGTGGATAATCAAAAATGAAAATGAAAATTGAATTTTGCCAGATAGATAAAATTATACACCACTTTCTTTTCTTTTTTTACTTAATTTTTGTAATTTCTTCTTTACAGTAATTAATTAAAAACTTCACAAAATTTGATTTATTCATGTATAGTATGTAATTTCACCCTTAAATTTTTTTAAATGTGTTATTGGTTTAAATATTTTAAAAAATATTTTCCTCGTAAATCTAATTTCCAAGTGGAGGTTTCTAAACTCTTTTTCAACCTTTTGCACCTATTCTCTGCCTCCGCCCTCTACTCCCACCATCCCTCACCCGGCTATCCCCAACCATCTACCTTTGCCAACCCCTCCTCCAGCCCTTAGATCTCGACCTACCACCTTTTCCGCCCTTACTTATTTCGTCTCCCATGATATTTGCCTAAATTATATACTTTTCAAAAAATATTTTGTTATCTAACCAAACACCAGAAAATAAAAGAAAATCACTTATTTTTCAAATAAATATTTTTTAGGAAAATATTTGCTAATGAAAAGATTTTTCTTTGTACAAAACACACCCAAAGTGTGCGCTCTTCCGAATCTGTTTATTTATTCAAATTACTTGGAAGCTACAACATGACACTATAAAATAATGAAACATTGAAATCCTATGTTTTTCAGCACAACCCCCCC